AGCCGATAGGCCGTGGCTCCAGGTTGTAAAATACGATGAATATTATTGCCAAATGCTTGGTTGAAGTCGAAAATGGATTTAAATTAATTAAAATTAAGAGATTTCGAGTTGTTTGGATCATTTGTGTTATCAATCTGCGTTTGTTTACACGACCCACATACGGCAGGGGCACGCAGAGGATCGATAATGGAAATCGTTCAAAAGAGAGATAATATTCTCCGCGCGCAGAAAAATCGATATATCGAAAAAGTGGCGCGCGGAATTATTTTCTGGTGCAGCGCCGGAAAAAACAGTCGGCGAGCAGGAATCGATATATCGAAAATTCTGCGCGCGGAACAGATTTCGGAGCGCCGCGCCGGCGGCGAGCAGGAATCGATATATCGAAAATTCCGCGCGCGGAACAGATTTGGAGCGCCGCGCCGGAAAAAATAGTTTTGACACAAACGGCGCAAATATATCGAAAACCGGCGCGGAATCCGGAAATTCAGAGATTTTCATCGAAAACGGGTTTTTTCTTTCCGCGCGCCGAAAAAAAATTCCGCGCGCCAGAAAAAATTCCGCGCGCGCAAGAAAAGGGTTTTGACACTAACGGCGTTCCATACATTGTAACCAGTGACGAGGTTGTTTTTTGTTGCCGCCATTTTGGATCCCATTCTTAACTATGGAACGCCGTTAGTGTCAAAACCCTTTTCTTGCGCGCGCGGAATTTTTTCTGGCGCGCGGAATTTTTTTTCGGCGCGCGGAAAGAAAAAACCCGTTTTCGATGAAAATCTCTGAATTTCCGGATTCCGCGCCGGTTTTCGATATATTTGCGCCGTTTGTGTCAAAACTATTTTTTCCGGCGCGGCGCTCCAAATCTGTTCCGCGCGCGGACTTTTCGATATATCGATTCCTGCTCGCCGCCGGCGCGGCGCTCCGAAATCTGTTCCGCGCGCAGAATTTTCGATATATCGATTCCTGCTCGCCGACTGTTTTTTCCGGCGCTGCACCAGAAAATAATTCCGCGCGCCACTTTTTCGATATATCGATTTTTCTGCGCGCGGAGAATATTATCTCTCTTTTGAACGATTTCCATTATCGATCCTCTGCGTGCCCCTGCCGTATGTGGGTCGTGTAAACAAACGCAGATTGATAACACAAATGATCCAAACAACTCGAAATCTCTTAATTTTAATTAATTTAAATCCATTTTCGACTTCAACCAAGCATTTGGCAATAATATTCATCGTATTTTACAACCTGGAGCCACGGCCTATCGGCTCATTTTAAGGTGCATTCTGAAAATCAGTTTTACAAGTCCAATGTCCAAACCCAGACTTTCTTCTTTCCCTTTTTTTTAACCATTCTCTTTTCACTTTCGCCTCAAATCAAATGTTTTGCAGTTTTTTTATCTTAAGTAAGTGGTCCTGAATTCATTCAAGAGTTAGAAGTTCACGATTTATTTAGTATTATAGCCTTTTGACCTCTTAAGCTTTATCGATATGATCTCATGTAGTTCGAGGTTTCTTTGGCCCAAACCAAGTGATTACTTACACATCTGATGTGAGTCTTATGGCTCTTCAAATTCGCAGTGTAGAATTAAATCAGAGACTACAGTTACTTAATCCAGTTCTGCTCTCTTGTTCAATGTTTGTCATAAGTGTTTGTTCGTGTCTGTTCTTTATAAGTGACCACTGTAGTGCATATACACAGTTATGCTATCGGTACAGGTATTATTTCTTGTTTTCTACAGTCAGGACTTTCTCTTAAGCGCAATAATTTACCAAAGAAATTCACCTAGTTGCGTAAATAATTTGGTGTATAGATATTCTGTTAATGTCTCCTTGCGGTGATGCAAAGTTTCTGAGATCTGTCATAAGTGGATTTTGCATTTAGACGGTCACTCTTGCCTGATAAAATTACTGCTCTAGCAGCTTCAAATTTATACTTTGATCTCTGATTCATCACTAAATGACACTCGTGCGGTGTCATTTATCTTTAATCAGTTCAAAGCTATTTCGACAATGAATCATCAAAGGTCCGATCGAAGAAGGAATTTTCTGGTGAGTGCTGCGGCTGAACCGACATCACAACTCAACTTTCAAAAGCATCAACTTATAAAAATTTATGAGGAAGTGGTAATGGTAAGTGGAAATCATGGTAGTGCTCGCTTCTTTCTTAAGCAAATTGTGCGCTCAAAATTTCAAAATCTACTCACCTGCATGTATATTTGAAGAGGAATACGACATGATATGTAGCAGGCTACACTTCATCTATTAATAATACGTAAATTTGTCTTCAGAGCATTCTTAGGAAACTTCCACAATTTTTAGTTTTGTTCCTGAGAGAAAATTTTGAGATGACTCTGCTGGTATTCCCAGTGTCTTTTCAGAAATTTTGTACTTCGTAGGTATCATCAAATACTTAAGTATCAACAGATATTGTACAAGATAGAAAATTTATTTGAGGATTCCTGCTAGTATGTTGTGTTTCCTGCAGCAACAAGGCTCATCACATTTCATGGAATGAAGTAATCAAAAACTACTTACTTACCTACAGCTTGGTCAGTTTCATGTCTTTCTAGAGTGAAGAAAATATTTTTTTTCTCTCTATTTAAGAATTCAGGGTGAATCAAACCTGTCCAACAAAAATTTTAATAAAATGCCTTTGTTCAAAAACACCTAAGAATCATTTCAATTGTAAAGATGCCGACGATTCTGGTTAAAAGTCCGAAAGTCGGCTGATTTACTGAATTTCTCAGGTACAGACGGATGGAAGGATTTTGAAAAGACATAGAATTACATCCTCCCATAAGAATAAGTCAGGAACATGGTTAAGGTTATCTGGGGATGACATTTGTAACATTTCGTTGCATGATTTTATAATCGAAGAGAAACAGAAAGTCTGAAACTTTGTAAATCTACGTACATGGTTTTCTAGTTAGGCTATGACATCGATATGCTCGTTTTGTTATCAATTAATCTCCACAAAGGTAAGCATACCTACAAACACTGTTCCACAAGAGATACGAATGTAACTTGTGATACCTAAGTGACTTTACAAATCTTACCTGTTAAACTACCAGCTACCTGATTATTGAAACTATGTCAGCCCGATATGAAAAGACATAGCCCTATCTTCTCCATGTAATATATCGGAATTTGTTGTCTTGTCGGGTTGCTCTAAGCCTTCAATAATCGGCCTGCTGATGAGTTGCAAAATATTTCCACTTCCAGACGAATGATCATGTCTTGGTTGATGCTTTCGATAGTAGAGTTGTGATGTCGGTTCAGCCGCAGCACTCACCAGAAAATTCCTTCTTCGATCGGACCTTTGATGATTCATTGTCGAAATAGCTTTGAACTGATTAAAGATAAATGACACCGCACGAGTGTCATTTAGTGATGAATCAGAGATCAAAGTATAAATTTGAAGCTGCTAGAGCAGTAATTTTATCAGACAAGAGTGACCGTCTAAATGCAAAATCCACTTATGACAGATCTCAGAAACTTTGCATCACCGCAAGGAGACATTAACAGAATATCTATACACCAAATTATTTACGCAACTAGGTGAATTTCTTTGGTAAATTATTGCGCTTAAGAGAAAGTCCTGACTGTAGAAAACAAGAAATAATACCTGTACCGATAGCATAACTGTGTATATGCACTACAGTGGTCACTTATAAAGAACAGACACGAACAAACACTTATGACAAACATTGAACAAGAGAGCAGAACTGGATTAAGTAACTGTAGTCTCTGATTTAGTTCTAAACTGCGAATTTGAAGAGCCATAAGACACACATCAGATGTGTAATCACTTGGTTTGGGCCAAAGAAACCTCGAACTACATGAGATCATATCGGTAAAGCTTGAGAGGTTAAAAGGCTATAATACTAAATAAATGGTGAACTTCTAACTCTTGAATGAATTCAGGACCACATACTTAAGACAAAGAAACTGCAAAACATTTGATTTGAGGCGAAAATGAAAAGAGAATGGTCAAAAAAAGTAAAAGAAGAAAGTCTGGGTTTGGACACTGGACTTGTAAGACTGATTTTCAGAATGCACCTTAAAATGAGCCGATAGGCCGTGGCTCCTGGTTGTAAAATACGATGAATATTATTGCCAAATGCTTGGTTGAAGTCGAAAATGGATTTAAATTAATTAAAATTAAGAGATTTCGAGTTGTTTGGATCATTTGTGTTATCAATCTTCGTTTGTTTATACGACCCACACACGGCAGAGGCATGCAGAGGTACCTCGCCGGCACGCCGGGTCAAAAGTGTGGCCACCGCCGGACGGATAGAATGGGCGCCATTTTGAGATGGGCCAAGCGGCGCGCGTTTAAATGGGAGCCCAAAATACGGATTTTTGGACTCGTATTTCGTGGGTTAATATTGCTCAAAAAAATCGGGGAAAATTCCTGTGAACTCTGTGCACTCTCTAGTATCCAAAAATGCAAGAATCACGAATGCTTATGCTCAAGCTCACAAGCTGCTGCACAAGCTGAACAAGCTCATTCTTTGTGGAGAAGTGCATTGTAAGTGATGAGGAGACCAGATTGTGGCTATGCGCTGTAATGCTGAGAGTGTACATGATGTGTTCCCACTTAAAAGTAACCATTCGGTATGAGTAGGTTGGGAGAATAGCTTTTTATGAGTGTATTACGCCATTTTTTTCTTTTTATTTGGTATCATCATTCTCCTCGCAAAATTTGCCCTGCTATATTGCCATTAAAGTGTAAATTGCTAGCCTTTAAGACATCCCTTTCCCAGCATTTCGGGTTTGAGATGCTGCTATGCCTTTGTGTAGGCTCTGATTGATAAAATATTTGATATGATGTCTACCTTAGACTTTTACTCAGAAAATATGAAATATTCAGGAAATACCGTCCCATACTTTATTAGTCTGTAATGTGGCACAATTTTCAGTTACTTATACCCTATCTTTCCAATCCCTCTTCATTAAGGCAATAAATACTCTGCAGAAATTTAGCAGGAACTTAGCAGGACTTACCTCTGGTTTCATCTTTCAACCTTTGAACCATCGCTTTTAAATTCTCTTTTTCATCTAATTCTAGTTCTAAAAGTACGTTACGCTCTATTGCTGAATTCATTTTAGCTTCAAATTCACCTAAAGATACATGTGTTGCTCTGAAAACGTAACATAAAACAAAGTAAATAAATAAGATTTGCAAGTTAATGTAAAAAAATAAACAATATACGGTCATTGGTATTGTTTTAAAATCATATTTAAGACCAATAAACTGTCTACATTATAATAACATTAATGTCAGCATGAAAGATCTTCTTTTAGATTGTCTGTTTCATACAGACTAGTGTATCGTTGATCATAAGAAAAACTTTAAAAAATATGTCTGTCCAGCAAAAAAAGTTCTGCAGCTCTAATTTATAGCATTCAATAACCTAAAGACATGGTTATTTTAACAAATTCTCCTAACAATAGTATCAAAGAGAAGAGTTTCTTGAAACTTGCTTTAAAAAAATGTAACTAAAAAAGCAATTGCCTGGATCCTCATTTGTCTCCAATTAGTTAAGAAGTTTCCATTTGAACTGGAAGCCAGTTTTTATGGTCAAGCATGTAGGAATTTATGATGATGTAGCGATCTGATAGATCACATTTTGAGTTAATTGTTGAGATAAGACAGGACCGAAGGGATATGGAGCTAAAGGATTGATCACTTCCATACTTCCTTTCTTCATCTTGCCTTTATTGGAGTGGATATACAACAAACTTGAAGAACCCCTCGTAATTGACAACCATTTCTATTACCATTCTATTAACCATTCCAACCATTGATTGATAACCATTCTATGAGGCCGGAGGGCACAATAAAGAAAGCAAGCAATACAACTGACCAGATACACACCTTCGTTTCTCTTTAATATTGTCTTGTCCTACCAATGAACACAAAATTTCAAAGTGAAAGTCTACATGTATGGGTGGATTCATAGAAATAATTTGCAATAAAATAAAAACAATTCAATGGTGGTTCGGATCGGGCAAACATACACTAGACAAAGCCTCATATCAAAATCACAGAATTGTTCCTACACTAGTATACATTTCCTTATCCAGAGCTTCTTATGGTTGATTCCCAGAGGTTACTCCACCAAGTAGATTTCAGTCAGCGAAAACGTCAACCGGTGATTTTCGAAAAACTTTGTGTTGAAAAGATGTCCGATCCCAGCATCAGGAGCTTCTATCGCTCCAGGCTGGACGGAAAGTTGGAAAGTGTGCCAGATGAAGATTTGACAGCAAATGAGCTGTGGCGGCATGTAAAATTGAAGGTGCTGGAAGCAGCTGCTGAGGCAGTAGGATGGCGAAAAGTAAACAGAAATCGCACAGATACCCCAACATCCTGGTTTTGTGATGAAGTCAAAGATGCTGCAAGGTCTAAGAAGGAAGCATTTTTACAGTATAAATCTAATCCCACTCCAGAAGAAAATGAAAAGTACAAAAGGGTCCGCAACTTAATGAGCCAGAGAATTAAGAAAATTAAAGAAGGTTATTGGGAAAATTACACCAAAGGAATGGAGTTTGACTTTTATGGTGCGCAACGGAAAATGTGGAATGCTCTTCGAAATCAGCGGAAAGAAATTTGTGAATTTAGGCAGGCCCATCACATTCGGAAAGAAGAATGGCAAACTTATTTTACCGAACTGTACAAAGATGCATAAGACGATATCCAAGAGAGGGTTGATTACCAGAACGAAGATAATGTGACCGTGTCATTGGAGATGGTGACCAAAGCCATTCACAGATTGAAGCTCAGAAAATCCCTTGGACCAGATGGCATCGGCAATGACTTCGTAAAATATGGTGGAAAAGTCCTAGCTGTGTGGATGCATCGTCTGTTCCAAAAAATTTTTGAAAAAAAGAAAATGCCGGAAGACTGGAAGGATAGTTTCACAATTCCAATCTTCAAGAAAGGTGACAAATTTGTACCTGAAAATTATCGCGGTATTACGCTCCTAAACACGTGCTCCAAGCTATTTACATCCGTTCTCAAAGATATTTTGGAGCAGATTGTGCATATGGCCGAGGAACAGCAAGGGTTTAGAAAAAACAGAGGCACAAACGATGCCATATTCTTGGTGCGACAATTGGCAGAGAAATCCATCGAGTTCAACAAGCCTTTACTTTTATGTTTTGTGGATTTGGAGAAGGCATTTGACCGCGTACGGAGAACAGATGTTTAGCAGATACTTAACAAGCGGAATGTCCCCAGGTGTCTTATCGAGATAGTTGCCGACTTGAACTCGAACACCAAGACACGGATAGTCACCAGGGAGGAAACCTCTGATGTAGTCTTTGTAAACAGAGGAGTAAGACAAGGGGACTCGCTCAGCTCTTTTCTATTCAATTTGTTAATGGATAAGCTAATCGATGCAGTTAGATTCAAGAGAGGCTATTGGCTAGGCAATTCGAATATCAATATAATCTGTTATGCAGACGATGCTGTTTTAGTAGCAAGCTCTGAGGATGATCTGCAAAGAATGCTCCATTCCTTCAACCTAACTGCAAAGACATTCAACATGAAAGTGTCGGCTAAAAAAAGAAAAAGTATGGTCATCAGCAGAAATCCAATACGATGTAAGCTAGTAGTGGACGGTAACGCAGTTGAACAAGTAATGCAGTTTAAGTACTTGGGCGCGTTAATAACGAGTGTGAGGGATTTAGGGACCGAGGTGCGAAGTCAGACAATCAAGGCAACTAGAATAGCCAGATGTTTAAATGAAATGGTCTGGAGGAATAAGTACATGGCTAAAGAGAGCAAAGTTAGAGTTTATAAAACGATTGTAAGACCTGTGCTGACTTACGCTTCGGAAACCCGGGCAGACACGAAGCGCACTAAACAACAGTTTCTGACCGTAGAAATGAAAGTCCTGAGGAAAATAGCAGGCTTTACGCTCCGAGACAGGCAGACCAACGAGCCAATTCGCAAGGAGTGCCAAATTCAAGATAATGCTAAATGGACCAAGATGCGCCGGAAAATGTGGTCGGAACATGTTGAGAGGATGGACAGGGAAAGGCTTGCCAAGATTTGTATGGTAGGACGACCTCATAGCCAAAGGCAACCCGGACGACCGCCCAAGAGATGGGCACAGAGCTGCCTTTCATCACCGGAGAATCAAACCTTTCTCATCGCCATCATATGTTACTTGTCATATTTATTTACTAAATTAGAGGCTAGACAAACAGGGCCACGGCCCTAGTCAGAAGGTAGAAGAAGAAGAAGAAGAAGAAGAAGAAGAAGAAGAAGAAGAAGGTTACTCCTTAAGAGATAGACAAGAGGCTCAAATAGCCCAAGAGCCTGATGATGTTTTGTGAAAAACTCGGAACACAAGTTTTAACCACTTAAATCTGGACTGACACGGAAAATGGTGGTCTGCCACGTGTTGGCACACACTGCGACGTGGCCATGATCATTTTCAGTGCCAGTGCGTGTAAGACTATCGATTTAGGTGGTCAAAATTTGTGTCACAAGTTGGTCACAAAATGTCATCAGGCTCTCGGACTAAAATGCAATCATGAAACTGGAAAAAGGAGAGAGTTACTCCTCCATCAGAACTCATCTGAAGGAAATTTGAATTTGCTAGACAATGACAACAAAAAATCGAAAATTGAAGTATTGGCGGTTCGCTATTGCTTGGGCATAGATGCATTTCGTGGCAAGGTTGGGAGGAGAAAAACGGATTTTAAGGGTCTATAAAAGAGACATCTCGAAAATTCCGTTATTCTCAAAAGGACTCAAGCGCATAGTCGTGGTCAACTGCAACTATCTGTTTGCCAAAAATATGAGAGTCGCAGCTAACTGTTACACACTGTACTCGTCCTTCCTTATCTTGGTTTTATTCGAAATGTTTACCTGGTTACCTCAGATTTTCAAGGATGAGTGGGTAAGTATTTGTTGTTTCAGGCAAAACATATTTCTTGTTCTTGAGGATTTCCGTAAGTATTTGCACTTTTAAGCGATAGGTTCTGTATTAATGATCACGTATTAAGAGCAGGTAGATACTGTTTCTTTGTTACATTAAAAGTTACAAAATCTATGAGTTTATTAATAGGTGTTCCCTCCCATTCTTTCTACTTCAATTGTCTTCTTTGATTAAAATTTTGAAGTGAGCTTAATAAAACACTAAAACCAGGTTTTCTGCAACCGTCTTATCCACTTCAAAAAATAGCATGACACTAACTGCTTCAGCTCACTATGCTCACTTGCGCCGCTAGCCGGGGCCTCCGCCCCTTGGTCCCCCGGTCACTCGCTACGCGAGAGCCTATTGGCTCTCTTCGCAAGCCAAATTTTGCTATCATGATAATTGAAGCACTTCCTTCAAGACGATATTTTCAAACATATTATTACCAGTTATCATACGTAAATGCAGTTGTCATTAAACTGTTCCACAATTAGTGAGTTCTTTTTAAGAACCTCTGTGAAACACTCAGGCTCAAGGACAAACTGTCTAGCGGCAAAGACGAAAACATGTAGTTATCAATTCGACGTAAATTTTGCAATGCCGGTTGCGCAAATCAAAAGACTAAGGGGTGTGGACACATTTAGAGCTTAAGGGTATTCATTTAACACAAATCCGAAGTAAATCGGTGCAGTAGTTTCCGAAATCGAAGGTGGACGAACTGTGTAACGGTAACCCAAAAATATGTCAATTTAAATTGAGGTATATTTTGTAACGTTGGGCGCACAAACCGAAAACCGAGGGGTGCTAACAAATTTACAGGTAAAGAGATTTTGCATAAAACAAACCTGAAGTAAATCGGTCCGGTAGTTTCCGAGATCGAACAAGGACAAAAAAAGCCTTAGAGTTTTAATGGACTACTAGACAAGGTACAAATTTAAGCATTCTGATACATGTTTCCTGACCAGAATTTTACGTAGAGCACGATTCGCGCAACAAAAACTAATGAAACAAACTCCAAACGAAGATATTAACGTTTCTATTTCACATTGGTTACGAGGAATTTGAACTGCCCGCTCACAAGAAACTCAAAGCTTCACGTGAGTCAAATCGCGCACTACAACGGTTTCAGCAAGCTTCTCAGTCGAGCAATGTTCATTTCTCACCATGCGTTGTCCAAACTATAAGCAATTTGCTACAGCTGAGCCAAAGCGTTAAGATTGAGGTTGCCAGATTTTTATATCGCAGAGACGTTATCATGATAACGTTTAGCGCGCGATGTGAATCACGTAAAGCATTGAGTTTTAATGAGCGGGTGGTTTGAATTCACGCATCAAGAATCATTAAATATCTTCTTAAGGAGTTGATTTTAGTAATATTTGTTGTGCGCATCGTGTTCCATGTGGAATTTTGGTGAAGAAACATGTATCAGAAAGCTGAAATTCGTACCTTGTCTAGTGGTCCATTATATAGATAACGGAGTATCCATGAAGTCACCAGATGATTGAAACCAATAAATGAACAAATTAACGCTGAAAGTATTAGGAAAAAGAAATTCCTGAAAAACTTTATCCTTGCAATCTTGCGGTCTTGCTAAAATAATAATCGGAATGTGTGCAAATTTAATGAAATTGTATTACCCATAAAATGAGAAAATGGTATCTACGAAATCATCATCAATACATTAACATAATTTTAGGTAGAGAAAGAGAAAATGAAAGTTTCCTTCCACATTAAGACATAAAAGAAGACAAACTTTATTTTAAATGGAGAAAAATGTTGAAATTAGTCTACTTACTTTCAAGGAGACTCGATCAGTATTTTGTTTCTCCTCTTTTTGCTGTTCAATTTATAAGACAGTTTATGAAATATCCTTGATGAAATTCTAATTTACTTTCTTCTTGCAAATTCATTTGTCTGAGCTCTTAGAATTATAATGAGTTTATAAAAACAGATTCCTTCGTTCTTTTTGAATTCTCATTTTTGACGCCTGTGTCTTTTAAAAAATGACCGTTTCAATTGTGAAAAGGTCAATCACTACCAGACTGGACAGACTTTTGTTACAATGCGGATCTAATGGCTTTTGCAGAATAATTAGAAACTAATGAATGAACTAATGAACCTAATAGTTGAGACAAACCTTTGAAGTCGCTCTAGGTCATCATTTTTTTGCTCCAATTCCCTAATGAATTTTAAATAGTGTTCTTCTCGGTCTCTGTACTGTTTGCTTTCTTCCTGCAATTCTGTGATTTGCGCTGTGAGATCTCTAGTGGTTTCTTCTAGTTTAGACTGAAATGAACAAAAGAGTAAAAATAAAAAAGTACAACTGAACTGGTAGCCATAAAATAGAGCCATTCAGAAAAATGAATGAATATATGAATTTGACAGGAGATGATTGACAAAGGGAATACTTCTCTTCTACCTACTTCAAAGGCACAATAAGAATATAATTTTAGGTTCAAAATGATTGGCCAGTGCTTCATTACCAATGAGCTTCGATAGAAAAACAATTGGCCTCCGGCCAATTTATGCGCGGCGCGAGCGCCGCCATGTGGGAGTGCTTCGCCCCCCATCATGGTGCGAGGATCGCACAACACTTTCTCGCTTTTGCCGGCGAGGAGCGCCGGTATAGACACTTTTGCTGGAATTTATAGAAAAATACTGCCAATTTCACAAAATCATAAAGTTTTATTGGAATTTTGATCGCAGGATAATAGTTATGAAATTTTTATTCAAACCACTGAACTTTATTGTAAATGTCTTCGTGATATGTGATAAATTCATAATCGGTCTCGACTTGTCGATATTATGAGGCATCTTCAATTAAATATGTAATTGATTAATGATGCCTCCTTTTAAAGACGGCGATCCGTAAAAATCTTAGCTTTTCTACGATTCATTAGGATCCATTAGATTCCACTGCGCTGATTGGCCGAGCGAGAGTTGTGGACGGACGATGTATAAAAAATTGCCTACTTGGAGGTGGTCCGGCAGCAACATACCCGCCGCTAGTCACTGGAAAACAATAGAAAATAGTAGTTGCGTACGTTGCCAGCGAGCGCGCTGCGAGCGCTCCTGTTTCAATTACCTAGCATTGAGTCGGGCCTCTAACCCTCTATACTCTCTGCAAAAACGTCAACAAACTTGGACGGGTTACAACGCGCTTTATTATCAATTATTAAATCAATCATGTTTGTGCAGTATTATTATGTTATATTTGTGTTCAGTACCTCGTAAAAAGGAACCGCGAAAGATGGAATCTACCGGGATTCTAAATTCATTAACAACAAACATATTAGTTTCTAAGAAAGATCTAAGTGTCAGTTCTTGCGTTAGCTTCAATGATTCATAGTATGTAATGTAAGTACCTAATAAGTTGTCTAATTTTACTTGGAGTAAACCTACGGAGTAATTTTGGAGATAGCATATGATGCATTATATAATGCATTTGAATTCCTAGGTTTCACCTGACTCAAAGCGTTTGCTGGTAATATATAGAAGCGTTCCGACTCATTAATCAGAGAATTGAGCGTTTCCTATCGGCCCCTCTGCAATTATGAGATTAGTCCGAAGATCCTTTAGGAACTTAAATTAATGACTCGGATGGTGCTTTTGAGCCAACTTTCAAAAAATTAAAGGCATTTTTTCAAAATGAGCTCTCCGTGTGACCCAAGTGCTCTCTTCGCTGTATGACGCGTAACCCTTCAATTCTTAGTTTAGTCCAAAGACCTCGTGGGAACTTAAATTAATGAACCAGGTGGTGCTTTTATGCCAACTTTCGAAGAATTAAAGGCATTTTTTTTTTAAATTTGCGGTCCTTGAAAATGAACTGTTTGTGTGATGTCGCGGAGCAAAGTGCCCTACTTTTGGGCCTCGTAATCCCTTGAATTTTGAGTTTAGTCCAAAGATCTTTTAGAAACTTAAATTAATGACCCAGGTGATGTGCTTGATGCCCATTGTTAAAGAAATAAAGGCATTTTTCAAAATTTACAGTCTTTCAAAATGAGCTTTCCGTGTGATTTTGCTGAAAATGGACAATTTAGCGCAGCCCCCCCCCCCAAATTTTAGCGTACCCCAAAATCGTTTGACGTGCATAAGGAGACCATAGATATGGTGTTCTGTGCCAATTTTGAATGAAATCGAACAGATAGATTCTAAGATATCGCTGTAGATAGATTTGGGGGACGCCACACGGACGGACCCACATTTTTTCAAGTAGGGTTATTTTGACTCCTGGAACGTTAAAACGTCTAGAAATGATGTAATTTCAACTTTTTTTTTTTTCTTGGAGGATGACAATACTTCCTCTCTTTCCTAGGGGAGCGAGAAAGTAAAAATATTTTTAAAAAAACTGTGATGCTCTGAGGGAAGTCTTTAAGTCCCAAGCTTCACAATGTGACATTCACTGATGCTAAGGTACACTTTCTTCGAGTTCTACTGAATAGATTTCCAAAACTTCTTTTTTTCCGAGTCCGTAGATTTTCTTTTGGCTTTAGACGAGAGGGTTTCCGAAAATTTAAAAACCTCCAATACCCTTGAATTTTTGAAATTTTTTTAAGAAAAACTTCACTTGAAGGGCCTTTTGGGCTGTTTTCTTTTTTTCTTGATGAGTAATTAAAGAAAACCTTAGTCTGTAGTTTGAAAAATAATTGGAAAAAAAAATGTTTGAAGATCCAATTACTGGATTTGGAGAGAGTGTACCTTAGGGGCAAAAAACGTTGTTTTGAGAATAACCTGTCTCAAGTTTTGGATACTTGTAAGATTAGCATTAGGGGACCGGATTGCATTACTCTGTGCGTCACAAAACCCTGCAGAACTGATGATAAAACTTGGTCTTGAGTTACAGCTCAGGATGCAGAAAATTCGGTAAGAGAAAAATCTGAGAAACAATTCTTTTGACCAGAAATGACCCATGACTCCCCCTAGCATGAAACTTCCCTTTAATATTAATACAATATACTCACTTTTTCTTTATCGCCCGATTTTAAGATTTTGGTTGTCAAACCTTAAACTAACACCATAGCCATTTCGGCATTCACAGCCATTATCAGGTGCTTAAAAAAGAAAAACGAATTAAAATTACAACGAAACTGAAGTTAAAACATTATTATCACCGGCGACGCGTCACGAACCTGGCGAGTGCGATATCAGGATCATGATCAGCTGATCGCGTTGCGTCACGCAGGAGGGCTGGGGGAATGACCACCGGTGCCACCTGTTGTTCCAACTGTGAGTTTAGAAGCTGGTCCTTTAGTGTTTTCAGGATTTCTATCTGCTCTAGTACATTTAATTTCCGACCTTTTCGACACACTCTATCCAATTTGGCTTGACAACCTTCTAGTTTATGATTGGTGTCGATGATATGGTCGCCAAATGATGAGTATCCCCTTCTTTTTAGTACAGCACAATCAGCACGTTCTTTTAGCCTTATTGCCACACTTCTGCCCGTCTGTCCCACATACTCTTATCCACAGCTGCGCTCAATTCTATATACACTGCTAGATTTCAATTTGGCGACCATATCATCGACACCAATCATAAACTAGAAGGTTGTCAAGCCAAATTGGAAAGAGTGTGTCGAAAAGGTCGGAGTTTAAATGTACTAGAACGGATAGAAATCCTGAAAACACCGAAGGACCAGCTTCTAAACTCACAGTTGGAACAACAGGTGCCACCGGTGGTCGTTCCCCCGCCCTCATACGTGACGCAACGCGATCAGTTGATCATGATCCTGATATCGCGCTCGCCAGGTTCGCGACGCGTCGCCGGTGATAGTAATGTTTTAACTTCAGTTTTGTTGTAATTTTAGTTCGTTTTTAAGCACCTGATGATGGCTGTGAATGCCAAAATGACCATAGTGTTTGTTTAAGGTTTGACAACCGGAATCTCAAAATCGGGCGAAAAAGAAAAAGTGAGTATTATCTGATACACCCCAATAAAGGAGGAGAAAGAAACGTAAACTTCCCTTTGTCAAACTTGGCACCTGAAGGTTTGTCACACAACCGATCTATGATAATATTAAGATGGAAGCTATTGTTTCCGACAAGTTCAATTAAAAGCAGCCACTTTACAGCTTTATACAGGGTGTTCGAAAAGTCCCCTCCCCCCCCTCTAACTTTTGACCTAATTCAGGTAGAGATTTGAAACTTGGAGGGTGTTCCTAGATCAAAGGGAGCTACTTTTTGACCCCCCCAAAATTGGGGGGGGGTTACGGACCCTAACTTTTAATTTTCAAAAGGGAAGACCCCCTTTGTGATACCTCGTTCGAAAGAGCATAAAAAAGAAAATTTTTCGCGCAAACCCGAAGTCATTATCTCAAACCGTATCAAAATGGCGACCGGTCAAAGTTCCAAATGGCCGAAAATTGGCACCTGTGCTATTTGCACGTGGATTTGCTTGAAACTCGGTATCTGGGGGTATTTTGGCACGAGAAAAACGAATTTGACGTTAGATTTTCAAAAAAAAACCCTAATTTTTCAAAATGGCCGCCGGTTTAGGCTCAAAGTGGCCGAAAATTTGACAAACTCGACTTTTTTGCCAATGGATTCACCTGAAATTCGGTATCTGGGGGTATTTTGACCCGAGAATAACGAATTCGACGTTAGATTTTTAAACAAACCCTAATTTTTCAAAATGGCCGCTGATTAAAGTTCATAATGGTCAACAATTGCCAACCTCGACTTTTTGCCGATAGATTCGCCTGAAACTCGGTGTTTGAGGGTATCTGGGTGGGAGACAAACGAATTCGACGTTATTTCACCGAGTTTCAGGCGAATCTATCGGCAAAAAGTCGAGGTTGCCAATTGTTGACCATTTTGAACTTTAATCAGCGGCCATTTTGAAAAATTAGGGTTTGTTTAAAAATCTAACGTCGAATTCGTTATTCTCGGGTCAAAATACCCCCAGATACCGAATTTCAGGTGAATCCATTGGCAAAAAAATCGGGTTTGTCAAATTTTCGGCCACTTTGAGCCTAAACCGGCGGCCATTTTGAAAAATTAGGGGTTTTTTGAAAATCTAACGTCAAATTCGTTTTTCTCGTGCCAAAATACCTCCAGATACCGAGTTTCAAGCATATCCATGAGCAAATAGCACAGGTGCCAATTTTCGGCCATTTGGAACTTTGACCGGCCGCCATTTTGAAACGGTTTGAGATAATGACTTCGGGTTTGCGCGAAAATTTTTCTTTTTTTACGCTCTTTCGAACGAGGTATCACAAAGGGGGTCTTCCCATTTGAAAATTAAAAGTTACGGTCCGTAACCCCCCCCCCCCCCAAAGGAATCCCCCC